GACACGAGGTGACACGAGGTGACACGAGGTGACACGAGGTGACACGAGGTGACACGAGGTGACACGAGCCCCGTCCCCCCCGCCCGGCCAAGCCAAGCAGAGGGCTCCGCTCACCTGCGGCTCCGACGCCCGAGAAGCGGATGCCCAGGGCAGGGAAAGGTTCCAGCAGGCACAGACAAAACTTGACTCTTTTTACCGCTCTCCACACGCCAACGGGAGCTTCACCCCCCCATTCCAGGCGGATCCCCCTATTCCAAGCTCGACCCCCCCATTCCCCGCGGGATCGCACCCCAATTCCCCGCTGCCCCTCTGCCCACACCCACCCGGGCTCTGCAGCCCCGGGAGACCCCAGACCCGGCCGCAGCGACGCCGCAGGACTGCGGAGGCTCCCGGGCCCCGCGCAGAGGAAGCGGCGGCCGCGGGAAGCCCACGCCCGGCGGGTTGGGCAACAGCGCCGGCCCCGCGGTTACACCGGCCCCGCGGTTACACCAGCCCCGGCGGTGCGGCTCCCCCTGCCCGGACACCCCCCGGTCCCGGTCCCGTTCCCGTTCCCCTTCCCACTCCCGTTTCCGTCCCCGGTCCCGTCCGTACCTCTGGGCAGGGACATGGCGCTGCGGGGCCCGGCGGGCCCGGGCTGAGCGGAGCCCGCGAGTCCCGCCCGGCGCGGCCCCGCCGCGAACACCGACCGCCAGGCCCCGCCCCCCCGCGCCGCCATTGGACAGCGCCGCCGGGGGGCGTGGCGAAGGCCTCCGCGCGCAAACAGCTTTGCGGTTCGTGGGCAGGGCTGTGGAGGGGAAGTGAGGCGGGCGGGCGGCGCTGCCCCGTAGCCGAGGTGGCCCCGCTGTCCCCGCTGTCCCCGCTGTCCCCGCCACCGCTTGGGGCGCGGAGCATCGTCCCGGGACCCCCGTCCTGCGCCACAGCTCGCCCCCACGCGCGCTGGCATCGTGGTGGTGGTTTGGGGGGCTGGTGCTCTCAGCTGAGAACAGTCAACTCATCGCATCTTCCGCGGGTCCTGAGCACCGTGGGTCTGGCTGAAAAGTGGATGGGGATGCGTGCGAACTGCTGGAGCTGTGTCTGGAAAGCTTTAGGTTGGATATTAGGGAAAGGTTCTTCCCCCAGAGAGTGGTTGGGCACTGAACAGGCTCCCCAGGGCAGTGGGCACAGCTCCAAGGTTGACAGAGCTCAGGTAGCATTTGGACAACGCTCTCAGGGACAGGGTGGGATTGTTGGAGGTGTCCTGTGCTAGGTCAGGAGTTGGACTGGATGATCCCTGTGGGTTCCTTCCACCTCAGGGTATTCTATAATTCGTGATTTGTTACTGAGGGATCAATCCCTTCTAGCCCAGGAATGTGTTGTGGCACATCCCAGGGCGAGGATGCTCCCTCAAACACCTGAGCTGGGCTGCAGACAGAGGTGCAGGATGGGATGTGAGAGATGCAGTTGAACAAGCAAAAAGGAGATTCCAAGTACAATTTTCTGGCTGGAATTCCCAGTGTGATCCATACAGATACAAAAGAGGGGTTGGAGGGGTGGCAGCTGCTGACAGCATTGAGATCACAGCTGCTCTGCCACAGCCAGTTCTCAGCTTTGGGCTTTGCAGAGCATTTGGGATAAGTTTGAGGGCTGGAAAAACTTCCTCAAAGCCAAGCAGTTCAAGGGAATCACTGCCAGAGGGAAGGAGCTGGGTGGACCTGGATCTGTGGCTGCACAAGGACAGGTGCCTCAAGCAGACCTGTGACCCAGCAGCGATGGCAAGATCTGGCAGCTGCACGTTGAAGGTAGAAGAGTTCAAATGGGGAATAAATTACAGGTTTTTAATGGGGAGAGCAATTACCTTCCTGAGAGACGTCGCAGATTCACCACCTTTCAAGTCTTTCAACACAGGCAAGGAGGAGTCTTTCCAAAAAAATTCCTCTCCAGTCCAACCACAGGTCATTAGTGCTGACGCAAGAGCCGTGGATGTCACTGCCGGGCTGGGTGAGCAGGAGCCCAGTGGACCTTTTTGGCATTTATCCATGCAGATCTGGGAACCAACAACAGGGTTTGAACCCCAGTTGGGCTGACCCAAAGCTGATCCAGGTTTGGGCTGAGCCAGTGCTTGGGTGTGAGGTTTGGGGGGTGCTGCAGCAGAGCAAACGTGGAGCTGTGAGGACCGGTGGGACCGGCCCTGACACCCAGCCCTGCTGCTGGCAGCGCCTGGGGTGTCACTGCAAGCACAGGGCACGACCCTGCTGTCCCCAGGCATGTGCCAGTGTGCACCATCCGTCTGCCTGCATCCCCAGGCACGGCTGGAGGTCACCACTGACTCCAGCTGAGGGTACAGGGGTGGGTGAAAAAGCTGCCCGGCTCTGACTCACCTGCCTTGAGTCACCAGGCACTTCACAGGTGGGGGTTTGTCGCCTGCTCCCAGGCCTTCCAGCACTGCAGCGCTGCAGAAACACAAATGGAAACTGGGACACACTTAGCATCCAAATCCAACAGGGTGGGAAGGCCGTGGGGCTGGGCAGGGGCTGCAAGGAAGGGACTAGAGGCAGCCGTGTCACCTGCTGATCATGACAGAGCATGGGAAACTCTTGGGAAATCTCCCCTTTTCTTCTGCAGCCTCCCAGTGCCTGCCAGCATGGCTCCTTCTGCCTCCACCTCTTCCTTCTGCCTCCACCTCCTCTGTCTGAGCTGCTGCCATTGGACCCGGCAGATTCCCTGCTGGAGAAGGGTGTCTGCCAGATCAGAGGCAGCTGGATCTGCTGGCCTGGGGCAGAGGGAATCAGCACAGGCAAAGGCAAATGAAACCATCCCAGTGGAGCCCAAGTGCTCCCAGAAATTTTGGCAAGTGTGCTGGATTTTTAGCACCACTGGAAAGCCCTCTCCATTTTTCCAGGGGGCTGCAGGTAAATCTTTGGATGTGCAGGCTCTGGATCAGGATGATCACCGAGGGAGCAAATAAGGAGCCCTCACCTCTGTCTGTGCAAAACCTGGTTCTCCTTTCCCCCCTCTCCTAATGCTTCCCAGCAAGGTGACTGACTGTCTCCTGAGCATCCCTGTGTGCTGGAGGACATCAGGTGCAGGATTCAGCCCCTCTCTCTGCCTGCCCCAGACTCCCCTGCCCTCGGGCTCATGGCAGTTATCCCCCTTCCTCCCTGTAAAATCCCAGCAGTCCTTGCCCTGGCTGTTGCAGCCTGTTTGCATTCCCTGTGTTCCCCTGCTCCGTTTGTATCTTCCTGCACCACCTTATGGTGTGGGAGAAATGTGGAGCAAAGAATGCCAGGGAGGGGATGAGGAGAAAGACAACATCTCCCCGTTGATATTCATGGAGGAGGAGGGGAAGGAAGCCCTGTCTCCTGCAGACACTGTGGGCCAGTGGGTGCTGTGGGCACCTGAACTTGATGGGAGTGGGAAACCAGCAGGAGACCCCAACAGGCACAACACCAGCACTGGCTGATGGAGCAGCACAAACCAACCAAGTCCCATAGCCTGAGGAATTCATCAGCTCATGGGCTCTAACTCAGGCAGCAGGAGCTGAAGGGATGAGTAAACAAAGGACAAGATGGTGTTTAGGTGCAGAGGAGCTGCTGGTGAACTATTACAAGTTCCAGGTTAATTTTAGGTGTTGCTGCTTTTCCTGTTGCACAGGCAGCTGCCAGCCTGCAGACACCTCAGGCAGGCTCAGCTCCTGTCACCAAGAGTTTTCAGGTCAGGGATATGATGTGTATATGATACATGATGCTCCAAGGGCTGGAGACAGGTTTGGAGAGCTGGGAGTGTTCATCTGGAGAAGAGAAGGCTCCAGGGAGACCTGAGAGCCCCTTCCAGTGCCCAAAGGAGCTCCAACTGCACCAGCCCACCAGTACACCAGGGCAGGACCAGTGCACTGATTTAGCAGCACCAGTACAGCACGGCAGGGCCAGGGCACCAGCCCAGCAGCACCAGTACAAGCGGGGCAGAGAACCCAGTACAGGAACTACTGTAGAGGAGACAGCACGATGGAGCAGCACCAGGGCCCATGCTGGTCCTCAGTGCAGCCCCAGTAACCCAGTGACAGACCAGTACAGGACCAGTGCCAAACGAGTGCCAGATCAGTACAGGACCAGCATTGGACCAGTACAGGACCAATGCCAGACCAGTACAAGACCAGTGCCAAACGAGTGCCAGACCAGTACAGGACCAGTACATGACCAGTGCTGGACCAGTGCCAGATCAGTACAGGACCAGTGTCAGAGCAGTACATGACCAGTGCTGGAGCAGTGTTGGACCAGTACGTGACCAGTACCGCACCAGCACACGACATGACCAGTACTGCACCAGTAGGCGACCAGTAGACGACCAGTACATCACCAGTCCATGACCAGTACCGCACCGGCACACGACACCACCAGTACCGCGCCAGTACGGCACCAGTCCATGACCAGTATCGCACCAGTACATCCCCAGTACCGCCCCAGTGCCGGCGCTCGGACCGCGCTGGTGGCGGTGCCCGCCCGCGCGGGGGCGCCGGGCGCCGCTGGCGGCGGTGGGGCCCCACCGCCGAGGGGCGTCGCCGCTTTAAGGGGCGCGCGGCCGTACCAAAACAAAAGCGCGGCGCGGCCATTGGCCGGTGGGCGGGCACGTGCCCGCACAGCTGGTTTCCTGCGGCCGGGGCAGCCCCGGGCCCGGCCCCGCTCCCGCCGCGCGGGGCCCGACAGCGCCTGACACCGACAGCGGCACCGACAGCGGCACCGGCACCGGCCATGGCGCACTCGGCGCCGCTCGGCCTCCTCGAGCAGGGCTGCCCCATCCAGGTGGAGCACGACCGCAAGCGCCGGCAGTTCACCGTGCGGCTCAACGGTGAGCGACGGCGGGGCTCGGGGCTCCCCCGGGGCGTTACCTGCTGCCCTCTACCCCCGGTTCTGCCTCGCCGGCGGACCCAGACGCCCGTTCTCCCCACCCCCGTCTTCCACCCCGCGCCCTCCTTTTCTCCCCGTCTTCACTCTTGTCCCCCTCTTTGTCCCCCTTTTCTCCCCGTCTTCCCCCTTGTCCCCCTCTTTGTCCTCCCCCTTATCCCCTCGCTCTCCCCCTTGTCGCCCCCCTTTTCCTCCTGTTCCCCCCGCTCGCTCCCCCTTCCCCCCCCCGTCGCTCCCCCGTTGTCTGCCGTTTCCTCCCATTTTCCC